TGCTAATTTGGTCATTAGGGGCAGTTGAGCAAGATTAGTGGGATTTTGAATTTTTTTTTTTTTGTTGATCAAATTAAAGTCATGCACCAGATAAAAATTAGAAACGACAAATGTAAAGCTAAACAGCTAAATAATTGCTTAATTCGTGTAAGACTACGCTATTCATAATTGAGGTAGGTACATATATAATATGTATGATCACGTATTTAGTGTCGCTTATGGCTCTATGGAAATTACTTCCAGATCAGACTCAACCGGGAACTCTCTCGATCTTGGCCAAGCAAGAAAAATCGCTACTCAGGCAATCTACCTATGTACCTATCTGGAGCATTCCAGAGCATTCATAAGAACATATGTATGTATAACCTTAAATGCTTTAAGGAATACTTGTACATGAGCTTATTAAGGAATAACTTAAGAATCACAAAGGGAATTGAATGGCCAAATAAATTCTGAGTTCAACATCATTTTTTATCAGTGATCATAGCTTTCTTAGCTGAAAAATATTTCACTTGAATGAAAATAACTTTTAATTGGGGATCGTTAACGAAAGATCGCTTTTTATCGATCGTTATTTTGACTGGAACCAATTTAGTAGGATGATTATAAAAGTAGCTCTTTTCGCTTTTTTTAGGGATTTGATCATTTTTGTCTACAAAAATCGTTCACTTTGGTGGGCTAAAGATCACTTTTGATTCAGGATTAATACTTTTAACGAAAAAATCATTAACTTGGATGGCTATGAAATACGGTCTAAGCTGCAGATCATTTTTTGCTAAAAAGTCACCAACTTCGATGATGGAGAAAAAGGTGTGCGGTGAGGATCACTTTTGTTCAGGAATTGATACTTATTTAACTAAAAAATCATTAACTTCGATGATTACAAAACTCGGTCTGAGCTGGAGATCGCTTTTAATCACAGACCGTACCTTTTTGAGATTTGGTAGATAAATCATAATGATGATGAAATGTTATTTTGCGGTCTTTAACTTAACTCCAGAAGTTTATTTTAGATTTGCATTTTTCGATCATACTTGAATGACATTTTGAGACTTGGACTTTACGTTCAAAAATAATCGTTGGGCTATCCCCATTTTCAGATTTTGGTAATTATGGTAATAACATAATAATCGCAAAGGATCATTAAGAGTAAGTATTTACTAAAAACTTTTTGTCAGATAACGCAAATAAATTTATCTGCGTTTTTTTTTGTAATCATACGGGAGACTTTAGTGTGCTTTTCTAGCAACAAATTACAAATAAATATTGCTTCGGCTTTAATTCATAGAATTGGAAGATCTGGGAACATTTTCAACACATAACATCTAAAGTTAAAAATTTCGAGTTAATACGCTTTTGAGTAACATGTGCGACATGATCGCCAAATTGAGTGTCGAGTATAATTGAATGATGAAATATGATCAAAAAGTGAATTACTTAGAATGAATTAAAATCTGAAAACAAATGGGTGAGCTAAAAATAAAAAATTTATTCCAGGGACACGGTTCTACGGAAATGATCTTTTTAGTAAAAAATCATGATTTAACTATTGAAATTGGATTTATATATTTCTGATAAATTTTAAAAGTTATTTCATTGTCTTTATTTTTTTGATCATAACATGCCGTTGTTTTCAGGTTAAATCTTTTAAATCATAAAGGACCCTTCATAAGAACGCAGTATAAGTTATAACGGTTAAAATGCTCGAAAAAATAAAAATCTAATTTGCGGTTACCACTGAAACTGAGAAAATTTAAAACCTACATGTTTTAGGAATGTCTTAGAAAATATCAATTCTAAATCTAAAGTTTTTTCTCCTATAAATACAGATTAAAATAAGAAAAGTCTTGTCAAAATCCAGACAGTACTTTTCAAGATTAGCGCGTTCAAAAATCTCGACTTTCTTATTACTATGTATAAATAAAAATCACAAAATAAAATTTAAATTTTACCGAAAAAATAAAGATCAAGATATATCGATCTTGTAGTGACCTAAACAAAGAAATGTTGGTATTTAACGGTTACTTATGTTCCCTGATTCAATAATTAAATTTTCTACTTTTTTAACATAAAGTCTAATTTCTCCTAAGAAACCATAATTGAAAAAAACCCTCAACAAATTCTTCACAAAAAGCATTAGCTCACTCACCTTATAGCCCACATTGCGTCCAAAACCGGTGTGACAGGATTTCTTGCCGCGCAGCTCCTTCATGCTGTTAATATTTGAATTTTTCTTCACCAAAATAATGCCCTCATAACGGAACTCGGCTGCATTGAAGATATTGAATTGGCACAAACGTTACACTTTTGTTGGTGTATAATGCACAACTATGTATGTACATATTGTATTCACTACACTCAGAGAAATTTAGTGTCATAAATCAAATTCAAGCTTAATAAAATTCGGCTTTCAACACTTTAAATTAAAAAAAAAAAAATTTAAAATATTAACCTAATCACAAAATTTCGTTTTAAGGAAAAATTCTTTAAATAAGAAGAAGAATTTCCGGTATTACTGCACTTTTTTGGCCAAAAGTATTAACTTGGGCTTGATTTAAGTATCGACTTTTTTTCTGAGTACACCACTAATATGTATTCAACCACTCACCATCCTTATCCTCCTTCGTGCGTATTTCCGAGATGACGCGATAATCCTGATTCTTAGTATGATAAGCAACATACATATCCTCCGGTTCGCTGGCGAGCACATCAGCCTTACGTTGATTGATTTTGTCCAAGCAATCGATGCGATCACGTCCAGCGACACATTCCATTTTTATGCCAGCCTCAGAGGGATCCTTCAGCAGATCCAAGCAGTCTTTGTAGTATTTTTGAGGCACACACATGCGATCTATATACATACATACATACATAAAGTTTTTAATTTTTATTTTAATTTTTTTCTTTTTTATTAGCAAAGAGTTTTTTAACTATATATTCCATTTATGTACATATATGTATATGACTTACAAATTTGTTCGTCAGCTTGCACCAACGCCAAACTAGCCACGCCCAATAAGGCTGTAGCCAAATAAACTGTTCTCGTAAAACCCATTTTAGCGCTGTCTATTCACTAGTTCACCGCAAATACTCAACTGTTGAGTGCATCGCCAGCCAGTTTCTTTTTATAGGCAATGTGCGCGCTTTGTTTACATACATGTACCTACATATGGACATACCTACATAAATACATACATATGTAGTTAGTTGATTCCGAACGTCGTCGTTGTGGCTATGCGGTCCCCTACCCGGAGTGTTGTTGGGCCGACCACAAGCTCGGGATTCACCAAAATGATTATTTTTCCTTTATATTTTTTGAAAAGGTTGATTTTTCAGCGCTTTAACCTGGCTTGGCGTAGCTGCTTGACGTTGCTTTGATTATGTATGTAGTATATGTATTATAATTTTTCTATAAATGTGCATTTGTGTTGCATTGTTGTTGTTGCAATTTGTTTATAATTTTTCTGCTAATTTTGCAATAATGCCTACTTGAAACCTCCAATGGTCATCGTAAATCGTGACATCGCCGCAGATAAGTAAATCTCTGCTGATGCTGATGCCGACGCATTTCCAAATGCTCTGCTCTTTGTTCTTAACCTCTGCGGGACAGCGGTTTCGCCTGGCTACTTAACTAAGTATATTGTTATTGTTGTTATTTTATGCGTTTTGAATGTCATTATCTGCGTTCAACATTCAACTCAACACGGCGATCTGGAAAGGTACTCGTACACCTTTAATATATGTATAACATGCAAACCGGTTTGTTGTCTACATTTTCTATAAGTATACTTAAACTTTCATAGTTTTACCATCCACTCGTTTTTCTAGAATTGCTATAAATTATGCAAACAAAAGCATATACATATGTACATTTATTTATGTATGTATGTATGTATGTATGTATTCAAATGCATATACACGCTCAAGTGCACGTACATAAATACCTACCTGCAGACATACATTATAGGTGGAAATATTTGTTGTTATTTACGTTTTCCTTTTTGCCGGCCGGCATCGCTGATCTTATAACAAATGGCCAAGCAACAGATGTGCATTGCTTTACAAAAGCAACAGTGGGACTAAGTGTTTTATAATTAGATATTATTTTTATAAAAGATAAATACATGGGAGACGAAAATGTACACTTTTATTTAAAAAAGTTGTATGTGAATTCCAAGCGCGACTAAAGTGAAACTTTTATGAGTATTTTACTTATACGAGTATGGCAATTGTATTGTTTATCTTTATCTTTATCTTTATCTTTATCTTTATCTTTATCTTTAT